TAGCTCTCGCTATATTTACCACTGGCATGACCTTTCAACGAAACCCTCAACATAATCCTATTGCTTTAGTCTGTATTATTTGTTTCAAATGAAATTCGCCGCCACAGGGAGTCAGATGTTAGCATCTATTTCTCACTCTCGAAGTATTCGACTTATGAGCAGCGCTGAATAGCACAAAGGTAGAAGGTCTACGTCTCAGAAAATCCCCTCATTTACCGGCTCAAAGAACCGCAAATGGTTCCAAGAAGCTGAGCTTTCGTGGGCCCGTCCCCTTCAAGTTACTACACCTTCGTTCTGACTCATTGTCGAAATTTCTATGAGTAGTCAGCAGGGATAAGCAGCTCAATATTTGCGTTTCGCGATCTAGGAAGGTCTAAACGGATGTGTCTATTTGCATCGACTCGAATAAGAAATAGGTGACTGTTACCGTGTCGTCTACCTCAACCTGCGACCGCCTGCTACCTACTTCGACTGCTATGACTACATACCTCGTAGACTCGTCTTGTATATTATTCCTCTATCACCGCCGTTATACGGCATCGCACGGCACATGTACGAGGAGCATTGTCTTGGAGTCTCTTGGGCTCTTGGTCGATCTTAGACACAATCGGCCGAATTTGAAGATCTACGGCGCAGAATGAAAACTTGCAAATCAAGCTTGGGTCTTGGGTCTTCAGATATTAAGCCGAGACTTTTCCTGACTTTGTGGATCCAGGACGAATTCGATCGAAGATGGGAGTGTACCACTATGTACCACCATGTACTCGGTTGTGTGTGCAGCGAGGACGACGAAGAGCCCCTCGAATGATGCATGGACGACAGTCAAAGACCCAAGTTTGGACGTCAAGCCTTGGAAATCTAGACACAGGCACTAATTGCTAGACAGCTGAGAGGAAGATTAGGTATCGAAAATGTGTATGAAATCTATGGCGTACTATCATCTTGTCGAGGGTATTGTATCCCTAAGAAATAAAATAATGGCGCTTCAGATTGTCAGCACGGTCTTTCTGAGCTTACGAGAAAGATGTATGCTAAAACCGTTGTCTGCTACTGCATAAAGTGACAGGACGAAGCTTAGTGTATCTTCACTCCAGTTCAGCGCACCGATATGGCTACAACCTACTATAACCCCACTGACGCCAGGAGACCATGCGACGCATAGTCTTGGCAAACGATTGCTGCACCGGAAGTGTGGTAATCTCTAATATGTGTTCATGTGTCTGAAGGTGCAGTACGCGTACCTTTGCACAAGGTCCACATATACGACGTACAGAAACCATGTCCTCACGATTGTACAATCGAGCGTGAAAAGGCGTATAATACTTCCTAGAATTACTCCGGGTACGTTGTTAGAGTCTGAGAGTGAGTAGGCTGGAGATCACTGGCGTCCAGATAAGGAATGTGTGGTTGTGATACCGAACAGCACTGCTTTGCTCACACCCGCGGCGGAGATGTTTTTCATTCTCCTCACCCTCCGAGCATCTCCCTTCCTGGTAACAATGCAGGCCAGCATTTGTCCCGACTGGTAATCGCAGACAAAGATAACGCAAGTCGTTGTCATTCGGACCACACCTTCTCGGAGCTCGTGTGACGGTCGAAAGAAGCTGATGAAATGGTTTTCCGCGTGGTTACTGGAGAAATCGCATCATGATCACAACTACTTAGATGCACCTGGATTGTGGGGTCGGTTTTGAAATCATCTCGCTATCATGTGAGTGTATGGATATCTTCATGGGTTCTTCTTTCTTGCTAGAATCCCGTAGAGTACCTAGGAGATCGCCAGGCTTCCTCAGCAAAGAAGCATGCGTCTGTAATGGACTGCAATTGACAACGCTTCCTCGACTGAAAGTGGCAGGTCTACTCGTTGAGGAAGCTGTCAATATGTAGTACATGTATGCACGCTCGTTCCCCTTCGTTTCCCCAAAAATATTCACTCATTGTTTCACTCAATATTCCATGTGGCATATTATTGATTTCGTTGCCCTCTCGCCCGAGATCTCTCGAGAAGATCAATCGAGGTTACGCGATGGCCTACTCTACCCGGCAATTGTATGCTCTCCATGCCAAGACCTAACAGCTGCTGGGTACAGTGATCCTGGTCGCATTGTCATCTAACGGAAGCATAAGGATCATGATAGATAGAGAGGTTCGTGCACCGCGGTCCGTCAACGCTTGTTCTAGTTCATGCTCTTTCTCCCTAGCTTCGATGTGGTTCTGCTCGACATGCGTACCTCGCCCATATGTATTCCTCGGCGTACGTATCTGTTGTTCAGTTGATATCCTCGTTGTCACGGAGAATTGCATGGAGAAGTCATGCAGATGCATTTCCTTGGCATTTTCATCCTCACATGCCTCATTCTGAACATACCGGTATAAAAGCTCGATTCTAGTTGCTTGCAATCTCCAGGCGACTTCTCTCCCGTCTTCCTAGCTTCAGACAGACCTTCACCAGTCCAAGTCTCTATCAGCACTTCTCGCTCTTACCAATGGCTGCCTTCAACAAGTTCTTTGCTTCAGTCCTCCTCGCGGTCCTTTACGCGACCACAGCGACCCTTGCTGTTCCTTTCGCCCCTGATGCCAAGCACACCACTCATCGTGTGCGTCACGTTGGTAGGGGCCTCCAGATCGAGACCTTCCACCCCGAGTCTTCTTACGAGGTGTGTACTTTGACATCACTGTAACTTATCAATCGTTCTAAACTCACGTATCTCATGAATAGACTTTCGGTGCTGGTGTTGACCACGCTTTGTCTAAGCGTGCCGACGCTACCGTCGAGGATGCTACCGTCGCCTTCATTTCCGAGAAGCTCGGTGTGACCGATGACAACGTTCACATTCGTTCCACCAGCTCCATCGACGGTGTTAGCCATGCCTATGTCCAACAGAAAGTCAACGGCATCCCCGTTGCCAATGCTGTTGCTAACATTGCTTTCAATTCCGAGAACAAAGTTGTCGCCTTCGGTAACTCTTTCGTCAAGGCCAGAAGTGGTAAGGCATTTCAACAACTTCAACATCATAGAACGATGTTAACGTTTCTTTCTCCACAGCCAAGACCTCTGAGGCTACCGTCTCCGTTGAGGATGCTATCAAGGCCGGTGAAGAGGCCTTGAACGGCAAGTTCGTGGCTGATGAGTTCCCCGAACCCACCGTCGAGTACGTTGCTCAACAGGACGGCTCCCTCAAGCTTGCCCACGTCTTCCAAGTGCGCAATGATGAGGCCAACACCTGGTACGAAGCCTTCGTCGATGCCCACACTGCGGACGTCATCTCTGTCACCGATTTCGTTGCTAAGGCCACTGTAAGTCTTATGCTACACAGCTGTAGGGGAAGTAGGCATGGCTGACTTGATTTCTTCTACCAGTACCGTGTTCTCCCTATCACGAAACAGGCCTTGACCGAGGGCTTCGAGAACTTGACCGATCCCCAGGATACCATTGCCTCTCCCCAAGGCTGGCACTCTGATGGAACCACCACCACCACTACCACTGCGTAAGTCGTACCCATATGTTTTCTTGCGATTTATCTGACATATACTATCATCTAGCGGTAACAATGTCGTCGCTTACAAGGGCGCCACCACTGCTACTGCTGCACAATCAGCCTCTGGCCAGTTCATCTACACCCAGAGCCCTGGCTCTGCTCCAACGACCGCAGCTAACCTTGCCGCGGCCAAAGTGAATGCCTTCTACATCGTCAACTCTGTCCACGACATTGCCTACAGATACGGTTTCACCGAGTCTACTTTCAACTTCCAGGTCAACAACTTCGGAAAGGGTGGAAAGGGCGCCGATCGTGTTACTGTCAGTGTCCAGGACAGCGCTGGTACCGACAATGCCGACTTCTCCACTCCTCCTGATGGTCAAAGCGGAGCTATGAGAATGTTCCTCTGGGATCTTACTAGCCCTCAGAGGGACGGTGCCCTTGAGAACGACATCATCGTTCACGAGGTACGTATTATTACTCAATGAACTGGGGTACTTTCTTACCTCCATATCTACTTTAGAACACTCACGGTATTACCAACCGTATGACCGGTGGTGGAACTGGCCGTTGTCTCCAAACCACCGAAGCCGGTGGTATGGGTGAGGGCTGGTCCGATGCCATGGCTGAATGGACTGAGCAGAAGAGCTCCTCCGTGCCTGACTTCTTCTTGGGTCAATATGTCATCGCCGACAGCGCTGGTATCCGTACCCACCCTTACTCTACCAGCGCATCTACCAACCCTCTTCGTTACTCCTCCATCCGTACCCTCAACGAGGTCCACGACATTGGTGAAGTTTGGGCCAATATCTTGCACAACGTCTACGCTTCTCTCGTCACCGCCCACGGTTTCTCTGCTACCGCCAAGACTGACCCTACGTACGTCTTTTGCGCATCTTGTTGTACTATATGAACTAACGCGTTCTTTTCAGGAGCACTGCCGGTAACGCTGTCTTCCTCCATCTCTTCCTCGACGCCCTTGCCCTCCAACCTTGCAACCCTACCCTCCCTACTGGTCGTGACGCCTGGATCCAGGCTGACGTCAACAGGTACGCTGGTGCCAACAAGTGCACTCTCTGGAAGGCATTCGCCAGCCGCGGTCTCGGTGTCGGTGCTACCAACCACGTTGATAGCACCACCCTTCCTTCTGGATGCTAAACGAAAAGGACGCGTGTTTTTTTGGATAACGTCGCTACGTATTTCTAGGGCATTTTTTCACATCGGATGGATTTCTCTTTTCTTCTCGCATTAATAATTGTTTTCACGGCTTGTTGTACATGATGCATGATGTGTTGTACAGTACCATATTCACTCACCTGAATTAATCGAGCCATTATTCCTGCTATTTCCACGGTCTGAAAACGTTCAACGGTTATATAAGATAGCACCACCTTCCATGAATAAGGTGGAACAACAGTACTAACTGTCTTCAGAGGGACCTCTGTTACACAATATAAAGACTGTGCATAGCACTATGCATTAAAAATCGAACGGGTATCGTGAGTTTAATGAAGAAAAATATTCGGATACGGGGAATTGAACCCCGGGCTATCGCGTTCAAGAGAATCCTTTTGAGAGGCGATAATGTTAGCCACTACACCATATCCGATGCTATTGTTCCGTACAAGGCACCATTCCAAGCATGTACAAACTCCTTGACAAACTCATCGGTTACGTGTTTCCAAAGCTCTTCTATAACTAGGTCGAGGAGCTCAGGACAACCTACGAGGTAGTGATTCATACAGATATAGCTAGTATGGTCACCTACGCTTGCCTCCTTCGGTTCCTTCATTGCAGCTCAGGCAATCTTAACACGTAGTCAATAATGTTCAACGTTCAGACTTGGAGAATCGTAGACGAATAATGAGACGATTTGTGCCTCACTACAGCCGTCGTGGTATAGAGAATACAACAAGTCCTATATGTACGGAGCTGCCGCTGCTTCACTAACTCCTACAGAATGAATCTCGCCAACTCTGCAAACGTAACATCGCGGCTACGATCGAGCTTAAGTATCCCAAAGTTGAATTCGTCGCGCTATAGCTCATGATCGTTGATTTACACGACGCGATTGGCTGTGCTTGAGTAAACATGAAGATACGGATGTTCATTAGTTCGAGAAAGAAAAGTTTAAGCCTGCGTCGACCTACCCGAGCAGGAATGCTATGATTATAGTATGATGTAATCAGATTCTAAAAAAGGCAAAGGCCTTTGAATCGGCTCAATTTCGAGTTCTTGACTCGAAGGTCACCGAAACTCCAAGTCGAGGCTCAACCGTCATATCAGCTACCCTGGATGTTTGAACCTTTATCTCCAAGGTTATTTATGTACATCCTATACACACTACTACTATCAAGACTCGCGTATCTTTCATGCCAGTAATAAGAAATTCTGAAAGGTGAATTCTCGTTGGTACAGATATGCTTAGAACATGATATACTCATTGTTAGTCTTCTGGAACGCTCTTGACTCAGCCTATGGCTCGACGTATACTTCTCGCAAGGAACATTTTCGAGTTTTGATGCGATGGCAACTACTGTGATCAATGTAAGTACTTCATACATGTCTTGTGACAAGTTGAAAAGATGCGATAATCGTAGATGCTGATATATACACCGCATCGTGACCGACCATTGTCGAGCACTGTAGATATATCACTCCACACTCGAAGCCTTAGCTGACCAACCTGACCTATGGCACCCTCTTGTTCCACAGAGCTGCCGAGCAGATGACTGAATCAACGTCATTCGTTCGTTCCACCCGATAGCTATGTACTTCTTGTATATATATATGGAGGGGGTATCTCTTATACATTGACTCTTTGCACCAACCTACCACTCCGAACTACTTACTCCCAATCCGTCTATTCTTTGGATGTCCCTCATGATGGTCGGATGGCTAGAGATACCTCGCTGTATCAAAATCTGGTCTCTTCATGTTGACCATTTCACACATGACTGCTTGCTGCTACGCTCTTCAGTGTTGCCAGCTCTAACTCCCAGTAAACGATCATATCCTTCTAGTGAATTCCTTCACTCTCGATTACAGGAACAACGGTCCGGAGATGTCGTTCCTCCAACTTCTACGATCCTACGTGGTTCATCAGACGAATCATCCTCTCCTTACATTCTGCACCTTCTTTCTGAAGATCCAACATCTATACCCCACACTCCCCGCATTGCAAACCATCGCATACACGTAACCTGTACCCTTCTCGAAACTGAAGGGAGCATATGCATGTGGCTACTATCCGCCACTCGACACGACAAAGGTAGATCTAGCGTCAAGCAATCCTCGTGCGGGTGCAAACACGCGGTCTGCCGCAATGCTCCGTTTGGTTTGTCTGATGATAACAACACACAACCAACCTTACTTTCGTCTCGAGACATATGGACAATACTCGGCATAGCTAGAAAGATGCCCCGGTGTCGAATATCTTTAGCTCGTTGACCGGTAGCAATTGATCAAATAAGGTATGATGAAGCTACTATATTCGTCTGTATATCCTGGACGTTTCACTCACCTACCCTCTTTTGGACAATATAACCTTTGTATTTTTGAACCACCATCAGTGACATCATATTTGCCACAGCCTGTACTTGTAACTTTGTTGTGGAAAGCCCACGATGGATGACGCGCTGACGATCGACATTCGGTATGTGAAACTATTCTATGTATACTGCTTGCTACATTCATGGTTCAAACTACAGGACTCACGGAGTTCCAAGTCTACAGACTTTTTGGATGTGATATTTGAATGTTGCCCTCGCTAGAGCCCGCATATACCCGGGTTTATCGTTTTTCTCCATCCACAGGATTGCGATGGCGTGCCTCCTCGGGAAACGCCATATGCGAAGCCTGAAGAAGAACATGAAATTTGATGACTGTGTGCATAGGCAGTAATATAGTATCACCCTACTTGTTGGGCAGCTCTTTCTTTTGTCGTTCACGAGAGGACTCATTCTACTAACCTATCTTGTGAAACGTATTATGGTCACGTATGCTCATAAGTATCATATTGTTGATGTTATCTCCGCCAACATCATTGTAACGTGTGTCCTCGCTGTTTCTCTATTCTATACACTTCGGACGCTTGGCAAGAAGTAGTGGTGTCACACTTCACACCGAGTCTTGAAATCGCCCAGCAATCCCTTCTAGCCTTCGCACCATGGAACCCACAACCTGGATGGTTCTCTTCAATTCCACCTTGCATGTCCCGACACTCTGGTATGCGGATACCTCAGGAAGTGGGCACTTGCATTGCAATCCGCTCGTCTCTCCGCTTATGCCCAAATGACAAAACTCTCGATCCAAGTTACGATTATAGTTCAAACTCCAACAAGTACAGGGTTAACTCTTGTTCATCTAGTCGGAGTCTATCATGTCTTTGGTCGCCACTCCACATGCTCGCTGAACAACCAAAACTGTATCTCACCTTCACACAGGCTGTTCTCCGGATCGTTCGGTACGCATCGCGGTACTTCGTCGCAGTCATCCTCCGGTACGATCTTTCTTGTTCTTGACACCTCCTCAGCATCGGTATTTGGAACCGATGGGCCTCATCTTCGCCCTTGGCGCCACAGTCTGTAGCACCTCGGCTCCGCTCATTTTTACGCGACACATGCAAATTCAGCTCCGCACTCACATAGCTCAAAAAACAACCTCCGCATTTTAGGAAAGTCCGCGTTGGTACGGCATAATCCGCTTTCCAAAATAGATGTTCTGGCCTGATCCTCGACATCAAAGGTCAACTAGCTTGGCATGGATGAGCACCGCAGTCGAGGGTCATCTATTAGGAGATACCGTGCAGAAAACTCGGTGACTGTCAAAACTCGCAAATAATTACCATCCTTGTCTACTTACATGGTTCAAAGTTTCCGCTCGACAGGATCATCAAATACTTATAATGGATGCGTGGGGTTTTGGCTCGGTCGTCAACTCGCACGCTGGTTTGTGACTCGGGCCTGTATGGAGATGCACGGCTGAGGACGTAGAAATTCTGTTGAGAGACGTGTGGTCTTTGCCGTACTCTGAGGAGGCTAACCAATTGCAGCGTTCTTTATCAATGAACCACAAGCTTGTTGCTTGAGACGATATGAGCGAGGATGGTTGGGAAGGTCTATCGGTGCTATCATTGCTCTTGAAGCCAAAGTAAGTCCATCACAAGACAAAGTCGCTCGCGATCATCCATTGGGGATATATTAGAGTTCTAATCAATCGAAGTGCGCATGCTTCGCTAGGGACGAACATGAGGGTGCACGGTCGTCGGTAGTCCGTTTTCGAAGAGGCTTCTAGTTTCTGAGTACAGATACTCAATCTCATGAGAATTTCGTAGTCCATTGATGTATGCAATGTAAACAAAGTTGGAATCGGACCTTGTATTCGGTAGAAAGCCAGACCGCCCACTGCAAACGGAAGTCGTAGAAAAAACTGAATTGCGGGCACTTCAAAGCTTCCTTCGATCGGAAGTAGAGGAAGCGGATACGAACCCGACGCCGAACCAAGGCACATGTGAGATTATCCAAGGAAATGATAGAAACAAAAAGGTGAGTATTTGTTGGAGGATCAAGAACAAGCATCAAAGCTATGTATCAATTGACTTACGGGAGGCTTGTGTTGTACCAAGAACAACAGAGAGGCAAAATGCTATCACCTGACAGGGTATTACCGAAGTTTAGAGTGAGAGGAGCATAGCTGATGAATATAGACATTAAGGTAGTGTGACTCACCAAAACAAACAGACCGACACGCAAGGAACGAGTGAAGCGTGGTGATCAGGGCTGACCCAGCTCCCCAGCCAAGGTCAACACGTCTTCAACCGTTTCCAGCATGTCAGTCACCAATTTTGAGGAACACGGCGAAAACACAGTCCGAAGGCGAAAGCTTGGCAGCTCTCCTCAATGACGTATGCTCTATGTTTGTTCCAGCGACTATCGATAGAGCTAGAATACACTCGTGAGACCAAACACAGGATCTCGACCTTGAAAAGTACAATACAGAACTTGTTGCGTCAGTTATACGTATGAGAACAAGAATATTGATCGTACAACGATTGGAAGAGATCGATGTTCGTTATTCATACAGCTTCCCTCGAGGAACTAAAATAGACTTGGAGGCGCGCAACTCTATCTCGCATGGCCTTTTAGATGAAAATCACGTTGGATGTTCCACCTAGAGTCGTCATATCGTTCGTCAAGCCGTGCGTTATCACGAAGTTGGGATAGTTGCATCACATTGAGCGTGTTGGAAGGAAGAGAGCTAAGGTCGAATTGCAGAATGGGGAAGGAGGCTATGATCCGATACGAACTTCAGAAAGGAATATGTGGAGGTTCTCTGATTTCTCTGATGCTCGCACGGGCATGCGTTTGAAAGATCCAGCGCTTTGAATCCCGGCACCATTAGCCGAAGAGTAGTTATGTTGCCCGGACTTTAAGGCAAGGAGATATACATAATTGCCATTTCCAGTCTTCAGCGGTATGTTTGGGCTGCAGAATGCAGAAGAAGTAAGTCTGAGGCCATACTGATGAAACAGTGGAGAAGCACGTACTATGCATTGACATGTGTCTGTCAAGGTCTGGCAGAACAGATCCCAGACAGGTCCAGGGCTCA